CACTCACGCACTCACTCACTCACTCACGCACTCACTCACGCACTCACTCACGCACTCACTCACTCACGCACTCACTCACTCACTCACTCACTCACTCACTCACTCACTCACGCACTCACTCACTCACTCACTCACTCACGCACTCACGCACTCACTCACTCACGCACGCACTCACTCACTCACTCACTCACTCACTCACTCACTCACTCACTCACGCACTCACTCACGCACTCACTCACGCACTCACTCACGCACTCACTCACTCACGCACTCACTCACGCACTCACTCACTCACGCACTCACTCACGCACTCACTCACGCACTCACTCACGCACTCACGCACGCACTCACGCACGCACTCACGCACGCACTCACGCACTCACTCACGCACTCACTCACTCACGCACTCACTCACACACCTGTTCTACACCCTCTCATCCACCACCACCTCTTCATTTCTTAGTTGCTCCTTCACATCTTTCTTTCTCTCCTCCAAATTTTCCCTCTTTTGTCCGTCAGCCTCCTCTTATTGACCTTGTTTACAGCTCACACCTCCTCCTCCTCCTCCTCATCGGTCTCAACACGTTCTCTTTTTGCTCCCCTCACATCCTCTATTCCTCCCACCACGTTCTGTTCGCACCCTTTCATCCCTACTTTCCTCGCTCTTTATCCCACCACCTCCCTCCCCAGCTCTCATCCTCCATCACTTGAGCATTCCCAAGCTGTCTCTGACTGGTCTCATCATTTCATCCCGCCGTCGTTCCAGCACGCTTCCCCTCCGATTCATTTTCCTCTTCACAGACGAATGGTGGGAAAATATGGAAATGTCAGCGTGACCAGGCGGGAGATCAGAGAGGACTATGTTAATACGGCAGAGCTGTCACAGCGCCATTAGCATAGTGTGTGTGTGTGTGTGTGTGTGTGTGTGTGTGTGTGTGTGTGTGTGTGTGTGTGTGTGTGTGTGTGTGTGTGTGTGTGTGTGTGTGTGTGTGTGTGTGTGTGTGTGTGTGTGTGTGTGTGTGTGTGTGTGTGTGTGTGTGCATCATGAGGGCGTTAAAGACATAATGATAGGTGACAGTACTTAGGTTGCTGACATCCGACCACTTGAAGATTTTTGAGTGTCGTGTGTGTGTGTGTGTGTGTGTGTGTGTGTGTGTGTGTGTGTGTGTGTGTGTGTGTGTGTGTGTGTGTGTGTGTGTGTGTGTGTGTGTGTGTGTGTGTGTGTGTGTGTGTAACGACACCTGCAGGCAGCAGAGCTTCTCCTAAAGTAGAGCATCAGTGACACGCGGCTTCTGTTCTCACTCTCCTCTCCTCCGATCCTTTCTTCTTTGTCTGTCTCCAGCCCTCCCTTTGCTTCTCCTCCTTTCACTCTTACCCTTGAACCGTCTTTTATTCTCCAGTTCCCCCAGTTTCTGTCAGCCCCTGCCTTCTGTTTAATAGGGCCAAATCTCTCTAAATATTTATACTGACAATTACTCTCTCAAACACGGCCTTGCCTCAGCGTTTCCACACTCTGCTCATCTTTGTGCATGCACAGACCCCCTTTTCCTCCCTCTGCCTGCTGTTTTAATGACACTTTGAGTCTTTAGGATTGGGGTTTTGGGGTTACTGTGAAGGATGAGGCTGCGCTTGTCTCCAGTATGATATTCATTTCCCTGGGGGCTGTAAAGAGTCTAAGGCCAGCCTGTGTCTCATCCGAGCTCTGACAGGAGCTGCTCTGTGCCGGCTCGCCTCTTATTGCATCTGAATGACGGACAACAAACCTACCCAAGCTTTGCCCTCCTTACCCCCCCCCCCCCCCCCCCCCCATCCCCAACACATGTGGATGAATCTCAGATTGCATACCTGCATGATCACATCAGAGAAACACGAGTTTCCAGAGCGATGTCCTTGAAGATGTCAAGCTGACTTTAGCTGTAATCAAGGTTTTCAGTAACCTTTCATCCAGTTTTTCTCTCGTTCTTTTGCATCAGTTTGTGACCGAAGCTCAGCTTCTTATCACGTGTTATTGTTCTTGTGGTTTGACCAACGCGGGGCTCATGTTGTAATTTCTGGATTGAAAAGATGCAATCTTCTGGCTTTGAGTTTGAATCAGTGGTCTCTGGTCAAGTCGCGGCAGATTTCACCCTGTCATGACTAAATTGGACCTACAAGAAATTTTGAGGAGCCAGTGGAGGTGGCTCGGGTATCTGGTTAGGATGGCTCCCTAGTGAGGTTTTCCAGGCACGTCTAATTGGGTGGAGACCAAAAGGAAGACACAGGACACGCTGGAGGGACTGGGTTTCTCGTCTGGTCAGGGAACACCTTGGGATTCCCCCAAAGGAGTTGGCCCAAGTGGCTGTGGAGAGGAAAGTGTAGGCATCTCTGCTTGGGCTTCTGCCCCCGTGACCGACCCCGGATAAGTGGACAAAAATGGATGGATGGAAGGGACACATTTTGAGGAATGTTTAGGACCTTTTTTCCAGCCACCAGAATCCAGTTTTCCTAGAGCTTCTAGATTGCAGTGGAAAAAGCTAATAACACATTATTAAACGGTGGAAATGATCCAAAGATTAATGCCAACAGGTGGCAGAGTCCGAATCACTGCGTCCTACAGGCCAAGTCCCAAAAACTACCAGTCCAAATCCAACATCCCAATTTCTCAACCACCACTTGTTACGTTTTCACCCAGAAAATTAAGAGGATTAGCATGTGGCTAATGCTAATGTTAGCTTGTTATTAGATCAGATTGGTGGACAAATTTTGATAACCACAACTTTTCAAAGCCTTTGTATGTGACATGTAGATTATTTAGCCTTTCAAATTTATTTTAGGGATTATTATTTTGCCACTTCTGTTGGCTTGAGGGCATTGAGCTGTCCCAGCTTTGTCCTCTTTTGTCCTCCTGTATGTTGTACATCTAAAATTATATAATTTGTTCTTTTGATTAAAAACCAAAAATTTAAACAAGTTATTTTTTGTGAGGTGTTTTTGGATCTGATATAATTTTTTCATGGTTCTCAGTCATCCAGGTCGTGTTGATCCAAAGAGGTTCGACCTTTCCAGCACCTACAATGCAGCTTTAAACCCAGACTAGATCTGAACCTCCTGCATTTAATCAAAACAACCATCCACACACATAAGGCCAGCGACTTCAACCACTCCTCAGGGGGTAGGGACAAGGGGTATTCATATGCAGTTTCGGCTCGTTAAGCAACAACTGTCAGAATTGACAAAGCCCCTTGGATGAGCAAGAAACGTCTTCAGGACTCCAATAAATTATTTAAATTTTCAATTTTTGTCTATGATCGTGCTCCTTGACTCAAGTCCCTTAAACGTGACTCTCGTCCGAGTCCAGTACTCGAGTACTCCGTAATGGTATAGCAGTGATTTAAACTTATGAGAGTATAAATGAGACCAGAATTACTTTCACACTAGAATCAGAAGTTGACCAAATAAGGCCTGTCCAGGATAAGAAATACATCTTTTAGCAAAAAATTCCAACATTAATGTAAAGAGTAGTATTCATTTTGAAGTTCTAATTGAAAATGATGTATTTTGTGACGTGTTTGTAAAATTGTCAATGTGTTTTGCCCTCGTTCTGCCACTTTTACATTAAAACAAGTCTAGCGTGTGTTTACTCTTATGAAGGGGTGAAAGTATGCATCATTCAGATGGGAAAACAAACTCTGAACCTCCTTGCAAAGCAAAATGTGACTAAATAATTAGCATTGCAATTTTTTATATTAATTACTTTAGTCATTTTTGGAGCTGAAACCAAAATTCAGATATGATTAATTGCACAGACCTAAGCTGTCTCCTCATCCGTCTAATAATACGAACGTTGATGCCGGCGCTCGCTTCTCATTCATTACTGCACTGATGTCTCTGTTGGATGTTTGTGGCACGATTCTCCTGTCCTCCAGTCTGACATCTTTTAAATCTACATCATCTAACAGCTAAAGGTATGCTGGGTGCTGTGTAAGTTCTTCTTTCTGCCCCGAAAAGGCGGTGTGCTGCTCCCACGGGCCGCCCGGCGGTTGTCCAGAGGTTTCTCTGCGGCTGCAAAGGGGGATGTTTTGTGGTTGTAAATTGGGCTGGTCCTGTGAGAGCTGGTGTTATTCTAGGAAACTCGCGTTTTCTTCCACTTTCCCACTCAGTCTTTCATTCATGCCTCCCTCATCTCTTCCTCTTGTATTGATATTTCACATCTCCCCAGAGAGGTCAAGGTGTGGTGTTCATTGCTTGTCAAATGAGAGAGGCAGCTCTGGCCTTTCCCCCCTCATCCCAGATTCGGTGTGTGTTGCTAAGCTCTCCGGTTCCTGTTGGTTTCAGCACAAACGGGTAGAACAAGTTGTGCAGGTAATTGTTTCTCTGTTGGGAAAGGGGTATTGTGGTGGTGCATCTCCGAAGCGTGTTGGCAAACACGTTTTTGCGCCACACAATGCAAGATATCCTCAGGTTGTGTAACTTCAGGTAATCTATTCTTACTTAAAACCGCTGCCATCTTGCTGACATGCTCTAATATGCGCTTATTCATTCATACAAGTAATTGCATTTTCAACAGAGACCTGGATTGCACACGCACGCATGCACGCACACACACGCACGCATGCACACACACACACACACACACACACACACACACACACACACGCACACAGAAACAGATTGTCGGTCTGTAATGCTCTATTTTTTTCTCACACACCCAGAAAAGCATATTTATTTCCACTCTGCTGTTACACAGGAATGTGTCGGCGCAGCAAATGGCAGGCTATAGAGAAGCTTAGCCTATCCTGATGATTTATGACCCACGTTCAGAAGAAGACTGGTTTTTGTCTTTTTTCCCCCAACCACTCCATCCACATTCATGTAGATGCCAGACTCTTGGCCTACTTGCAGGGGTCCACTAATATTGTCCTTTGTTGCACCAGACACCTCCACTCTGTCCTCATTTATCAGGTTTATTATCAACGTGGTTCTTCTGTCTTTAAATGTGTTACGTTTCTTGCTCTCTGCAGGAACCTGGGGGCAGCAGGTGAAGGTGGAAGGAGAGGTGTTGTCCTATCCCGGCCAGACAGTCAACCTACGCTGCAGCTTCCCAGACGTCACCGGAGTTCAGCTCACAATGGTCAGAAACGCAGCCCCGACATTCAGCTCCCTTCTTTTTTATTATTCTGTCTGTATTTGATTATCTGTTTTCACTAGCACACTCATATCAACCCTAAACTGCGTTTGTGGCGTGAAACCCTCATAAAAACGTCTCTTGTCCTTCAGCTGCAGCGCACATGCTGACTAGACTCGAGACAGTTTGGCTGAAATTGCTCGGATTTATGATTGGATTCATGAACTAAATGCATTATTTGGCTGCTTTTCTGTAAAATAAAAGATTCACTTACCTTTTGATGTTGTTATCGAGCTTCACAGATGCAATCGGGCAGGTAGAGGAGAGCAATTCGCAGCAATGAAAGGAATCTCAATTCAATCGTCTTTTTTTAAATTAAAGCTTAATCCAACAAATTATTGTCCGTGGAAATCATCCCGGGGCAGGAAATAGGTTTTTATCAAATTTACGCTTAATGTTTTCTTACTGCAGACAACACTAAGCTTCTTTTCGCCTCGGGGGATTGAAAATGGTGACGGGGGCCATTTCTTAGTTGCATTTCAATGAAGTGGAAATGCACGACTTTGTTGTTTTTGCTGTGAACAGCTGAGAAAGTGGCGCTCCTGGAAACGCCACATCCATATTCATACCATAGTCACTTCCGTGGTTGTGATGCTGCGCTCGTCGCCCTGCGGAGTTTACTTTTAAAGTCCGGATGTCTTAAAACGCTCCCGTGTGTTGCTTATCAACGACGTGATAAACGAGGCCTCTCTCACCCTCTGACTGCTGACCCTGGTCTTGCTTCGTCTCAGGTCTCTTGGCTATATGAGCCAAAGGATGGAACGCGGCAGAACATAGCGGTGTTGCACCCCAACCATGATCCCAGCTACCCCGACTCGCCGCTGAAGGGCAGAGTGAGCTTCACACAGAATCCGCCCTCCCTCAGCAGCCCTTCCATCCAGATCACCGGCGTCCAGCTGACCGACGAGGGGAAGTACATCTGCGAATACGCCACCTACCCGGGAGGCAACCAGCAGGGCATCACCCAGCTGGTTATGTTGGGTAAGTCACTGATATCTGCTGTTTTAGTGTGGCTTTGAACCAAACATGGTCCTTAATGTTCGGATTCATGCAACATTTGTCACTTTTCCCAAATTAATATGACAACTACTATTAAAGCAGATTTTCTCCAGATTTGTTGGCCCTGTAGTGATGTCAAGCATTTCCCGATGCAGAACCGTCAATCAGCACCAGTATAAATGGAGTGTTCAGTTTAGAGTGTTTTTGTGTAAAGGCCATAAGTAATTACTACCGCAGCCATTTTGGATACTTTCCTGAACAGAATCTGTTCTGAGAAATGGGATTTTCATCCTACAGGACAGATGAGCTAACAGTTAGCTTGAGTGCAGCCATGTGAAAGTGTATTACTGCTATTGTAAAGAGGACATATTATGCATATTTCCCCTTTTGCATTCTTTTGTGCTGCCATGTGGGTCCCTACTGCCTCTATAAACACTCCAAATGTAGAAAAACCTCACCCAACAGTGTTTGGTTTTAGTAATTATGTGCCTAAAATGAGCCGTTTCAAAAAGTCCCTGTTTGTGATGTCATAAACGGGGAAATTGGCATAGATTCACTTCTCACCTGGAGAAGAGCTGCTATATCGGAGCTTCTCCGCTCATAGCAGATTGAGCGAGGAATGGGTGGGCGTGGCTAGCTCCAACTTGTTTTCTTAAGGTGACGGAGCCCTAAAAACGACTCATTCTGGAAAGTGCTGAAACTGTCGAGAATAAAATGGCTGAAATTGCTTCATTTGAGAGGGATTTAGTGCAAAGAACTTTAGTAACATTTTTTATATCAAGCGTAAAATTCTAACTTAAGCCAAAGTCTTATGAAGGCATCAGCGGCGCGGAACAGCAGCGCAATTTAGCTCCGTTAAAAGTTATAGGGTTGTTCTAAACCAGCCACGACACGGAACCGGGCCCCGAGCCACTTCTGGGACACGGCAATTTCTGCAGTTAACATGTTCAGTAATTTTCTAAATAGCAGACCACTAACACGATGCGATTTCTTATCTATGTAGATCATGTCACTGCATGTGACCCAAACGGCTGATTAGCTTCGCAGCATCTTTCAAGAAGCGTTGTTTTTCATGGCTTTAATCCTGGCAGTGGGGAGGAAAAACATCATATGACATCAAACGTGATTTCCTTTGGCTTCTTTTTGGTTTAATGGCGGATGGCACAAACTGATTTTTGAAGTATAGAGGGATTATGTAATCTTGGAAGGCGGGGAACTCCCCTTGTGTGGAATGACGCACCACAAAGCTCGTGAGTAAGCCGTTCCGCACCGCTGATGCTTCTAGTGCGGACCTGATGTAAGTATTAACTTTTGCTCCTGGAGGTATTTAATCAGAGAATTCCACGTAAAAAAAAAAAAACAGCTGACGACAGAAGTGTCTTAAGATGGCAGCAATACACCTTCAGTCTTGTTAAATATATACTCTATTTCACAGAACAGAGGCTGTTCAAGCAGCTGTCTACAATAACAGTTAAAATCTGCAACTTTAACACAAACAAGTTTCAGAGCGGTTGAAACATCCACTTCCTGTTTGTCACCCAGTTGAGTCCCTTTAGACACAAAATAGAAAGTTCTGCAGATAATTCAACACATTAGAAATGGAGACCAGAGATGCAGGGATGATTCCGGTCTTCGGTTTCCCTTTGAATGCGTCACAGGGAGAAGGTAAGCTTGTCAGATTTCAAAGTAAAACCAAAAGCTTTAATCTGGAGCACAGGCTCTTTGCTTTACCGTGTTTCCTTAATCCCCTGGGTGTTGGATAATACTGTGCATCCCAGTGATTAACACATAAGAACAAATGTCTTTTTGAAGGAATCCTAAGCTGACTGGATGTTATGAAGCCGATGATAAAAACGAAATCACAAATAAAAGGAGATTTTAGATTTAAAACCGTAGTTTGAGGACTACTTCTGTCTAAATGCAGTGTCTCATAAGTTATGCTTGTAAAAAAATTTAAAGTGAAATTTTAAATAATCCTAAAACTTTTTTTTTTACTCATTCAAAAAGAAAAATATATATTTATAGCACCTTTTTACTAAATAAAATCTGCTAAATTACTTTCTTGGTCAAACTTTCAGATTTAAACAGATTAATTTTGTAAAATTAGAATTAGAAAAGTTCGACAGAGCTACATCACACTGTCGCCTAGCATTCATGGACTCACCCATCTTGACTCAGTTGTTGGTTTGGCGTCCAGGAAACGGCAGATAACTTTTGGCTAGTAGAAGCTAAGCATTAGCAACTCCACCACACAGCAGAACTCCTTCAGGCTTGTGTTATTTGTGGAGATAAAACATCAACATTGCAAAGTAAACAAAGTTGGTGGTAGAGTCGTGTTGCTGTTAGCCAATCAGAGACGAGAAGCCAGAATATTAGGAAATAAGACTCCCAAAACCTGCCGTCTTCTGCTCCCCTGGCGAACTTGTAGTTCCTAAAATAGGAGCGCCAGAGCTTTTTTCCCCCCACATAGATCGAATCACAAGGCATTCGTTTATACTAGAGACCACTGCAGAACAAACAAGTGAGCTTGGTCTGTGAGGTTATTCCACCATTTTACACTTCTATTACTCAATTCTTTCATTCTGAATTCGGCTTTTTGAAAGACTTCGATTATTATTCAGTTTTGTCTAAAGTGGGACTTGCATGTATGGTTGTAGTTTTCTATAAGTTGAATTTTTCCAATAAAAACAGGTTGTCCATCCTTATGTGGTGACCTTTTTGTGAACTTTAACGCCATATTATGCAACTTTTTCATATCTTTGAATCGATTTCTTGAGCCAGTATGTGCTAAAATGACCCTTTACAGGGTCACTCAGACCCCCACCGCCCTCTATGGTCAGAATACCGCATTTGCAACTTCAGAGTGCCGGTCCGGTCTGTTGGACTTAGAAAAAAATGGAGCTGACATACATGTTGCAGTCTGCTACATGTTTCCTGCATGTTTTAGATCATGAACAAACCTCATTTGTTTAATTTAGTGGTGAATCACTCCTGTAGACACTAAGGAAGGCTGGGGAGACATTTCACAAGTTAGGTTAAGGTGTTAAATAGATGCAAGGAGATAGGTTTGATTCTACAAATGAACACGAGGGGGTGCTAAAAGCACCTTTAATAGATATATGTATAATCAACAACCCACTTTATTGCAGGCTTTCATACATTCATTCATACATTGGGGCGACGGTGGCACAGGAGTTAAGTGCTCGCCCCGAAATCGGAAGGTTGTAGGTTCGAGCCCCGCTCAGTCTGTCGCTGTCGTTGTGTCCTTGGGCAAGACACTTAACCCACGTTGCCTGCTGGAGGTGATCGGAGGAACCGGTGGCGCCAGCGCTCGGCAACCTCGCCTCTGTCAGTGCGTCCCAGGGCAGCTGTGGCTACATCGTAGCTCATCCCCACCTGTGTGTGAATGTGTGAATGATTGATTGTGTTGTAAAGCGCCTTGGGGGGTTCCATGACTCTAGAAGGCGCTATATCAAATACAGGCCATTTACCATTCAAGCCAAAACTCGCCAAGTATCTCGTACTAATACTGTTAAAACTACAGTCTAGAAATGGGCTTGTTTCTATAAAAATCTTCATTTATAGACTAGAAAATTGGCATTACCGTAATATTCTATAAACCTAGTCAAGCTTGAAAGTTTAGTTGCAGATGCTAAAATAAAAAATCCAGATTTTAATCGATGAATCATTTAATGAAAAACAAAGCTGCCAAAGGCGTCTATTTACACAACAAAATGAGTTTTTATAAATGTTTTATCAGTCTCTGCAGGAAGGAGCGCAAATTGCCAGGTAAAGAGAAGTCAAGTCCAGGATTATCCAGATTAAATGTAGTTTCAGGTTTTCCAGATTTCCCTGCATCATCCACAGATTGAAAAAAAAGGGAGAATGTGGCCAACTGTCTGCGCCTTTAATTTACTTTTCTTGCCAGAAATGTTTGGTCATGCTCGTCTTTCCTGCAGAGATTCAGACACGCTGGATCTGTGCCATTTTTTTCTTCTATGTTTTGGTCGCCCATCTGGTTAGAGGTGTAAAATGAAGCCTTACCTTCCAGGGGACGCGTAGAAAGGTTTCCTCTGCCGGCTCTGGTTTTGCTTCCTGTCAGCGTTTCCTAAGGCGCAGATTAGAAGCATTTCCGTTTTGGCCTAATTGCTGCTGTAAGTGTTGTCATCAGACTCTCTTATGCGAGGGAGCCGTCGTAGCCTCGGCTCTGCGCCCTCCTTCTCTTCCCCTCTCATTTTCCTCTTAACTCATCTTGCCTCCATGCCTTCCCTCAGGCAGCGTATTGATCAGGCTGCTTGTCATGCCTGCTGTCAGTTCCTGTCTCGCTTGCTCCCGACTGATCCAACGCCGCTTTCGCAGAGGGCAAACGGGGAGCGAGGCGGTGGAGGAGCGGCTGAGATCATGTAGTGATTTAGAAATCGTGAAAACGCGATGGACCAGTCATGGTGATGATATTTCATCGCAGGGCGATGGAGGGGATAGAGAGGAAATGGATTAAAAAAATGGAGGCAGAGTGATGGAAGATTGGAGGTTTGTGTGTGTTTTGCTGCTGTTTGTAATTTTGTCAATGAACGCTCCAGAGAGGGAAAAGATTGACTGAACAGAGAGAGGGTGGGGGGGGGGGGGGGGGGGGGGCTGAGCTGAGCTGAGGATTTTTACTTTTGCCTCGACTTGTAACTGAAATTGTCATTTGTGGATAATGATGCTCATTATCTGTACATATGCCAGATGGTTCATCCATTAATCATGTCACTTTTGTCTTTTTTTTTTGTTTCCTCTCCACCTTTGCATCATTTTATCGACCCGCCCGTCAGCTAAGCCACAGAACTCGGCCACCAGCGTGACGGTGTTGGCCGGGGCCCAGCCGGTCGTCGTTGCTCGCTGCACGTCGGCAAACGGTCGCCCTCCTGCCACGATCAAATGGGTGACCACAGCCGACGGCAACGCGACGATGGTGTCGCGCGCTGGTTCTGACAACACCGTGACGGTGACCAGCGAGTACAGCCTGGCTCCAAAGTCCTCGGACAACGGGAAGGACATCTCCTGCCTGGTGGACCACAGGACTCAGGCCAAGACGGAGAGCATACCGCTGAAGTTGGCTGTTCAGTGTAAAATACCACACACACCCACACACACTTCCTCTAATTTCCCCTGGTGTTCACGCACTAATGTGATCGGCTTTGCCAGTTTCAAACCTCTGAGTGATTAATTAAACTCCTTTTTTCTGTCCACCCCCCACCCTCATTGTCCTCCAATCACTTCCTGTCATTCATCTGTCATCTCCTAGATGCCCCTGAGGTGAGAATTGAGGGTTATGACAATAATTGGTACATAGGCCGAACAAACGCGGTGCTCATCTGCCAGGCGAATGGAAACCCCATCCCAACCTCCGTCACCTGGAAGGCGTGAGTGTTTCCTCTTTATGGAATATTTGTCACATCTTTTGCTCTCTCTCTTTCTTTTTGTCACGCTAGCCCCCCTCACTCATGGGTCTGCGGTCCTTGTTGAGCCGTAATCAGCGGTTTCATTACTTTTGGTGCAGAAGTGCGCTCTGATTATGGAGATGGCCGTAAAATTAGTCATTATGGACTAAATTTAACTCTTTCATGAGGCTCTGTTATATTATATTATCCTCCAATAACAAAATTCAGTCTTTAATTTAAAGAGCAAGTTCACAGAGAAACCATCTTGTTATTTTTTAAATATGATCATCACTCTGAGTTTCACATGCAGGCAAAACGTGAACATACAGTGGGGCAAAAAAGTATTTAGTCAGCCACCGATTGTGCAAGTTCTCCCACTTAAAATGATGACAGAGGTCAGTAATTTGCATCATAGGTACACTTCAACTGTGAGAGACAGAATGTGAAGAAAAAAAATCCATGAATTCACATGGCAGGATTTTTAAAGAATTTATTTGTAAATCAGGGTGGAAAATAAGTATTTGGTCACTTCAAACAAGGGAAATCTCTGGCTCTCACAGACCTGTAACGTCTTCTTTAAGAAGCTTTTCTGTCCTCCACTCGTTACCTGTATTAATGGCACCTGTTTGAACTCATTATCTGTATAAAAGACACCTGTCCACAGCCTCAAACAGTCAGACTCCAAACTCCACTATGGCCAAGACCAAAGAGCTTTCGAAGGACACCAGGAAAAGAATTGTAGACCTGCACCAGACTGGGAAGAGTGAATCTACAATAGGCAAGCAGCTTGGTGTGAAAAAATCAACTGTGGGAGCAATTATCAGAAAATGGAAGACATACAAGACCACTGATAATCTCCCTCGATCTGGGGCTCCGCGCAAGATCTCATCCCGTGGGGTCAAAATGATCATGAGAACGGTGAGCAAGAATCCCAGAACCACACGGGGGGACCTGGTGAATGACCTGCAGAGAGCTGGGACCACAGTAACAAAGGTCACCATCAGTAACACACTACAACGGCAGGGAATCAAATCCTGCAGTGCCAGACGTGTTCCGCTGCTGAAGCCAGTGCATGTCCAGGCCCGTCTGAAGTTTGCCAGAGAGCACATGGATGATACAGCAGAGGATTGGGAGAATGTCATGTGGTCAGATGAAACCAAAGTAGAACTTTTTGGTATAAACTCAACTCGTCGTGTTTGGAGGAAGAAGAATACTGAGTTGCATCCCAAGAACACCATACCTACTGTGAAGCATGGGGGTGGGAACATCATGCTTTGGTGCTGTTTTTCTGCTAAGGGGACAGGACGACTGATCCGTGTTAAGGACAGAATGAATGGGGCCATGTATCGTGAGATTCTGAGCCAAAACCTCCTTCCATCATTGAGAGCTTTGAAGATGAAACGTGGCTGGGTCTTCCAACACGACAATGATCCCAAACACACCGCCCGGGCGACAAAGGAGTGGCTCCGTAAGAAGCATTTGAAAGTCCTGGAGTGGCCTAGCCAGTCTCCAGACCTCACCCCCATAGAAAATCTGTGGAGGGAGTTGAAAGTCCGTGTTGCTCGGTGACAGCCCCAAAACATCACTGCTCTCGAAAAGATCTGCATGGAGGAATGGGCCAAAATACCAGCTACTGTGTGTGCAAACCTGGTAAAGACCTATAGTAATCGTTTGACCTCTGTTATTGCCAACAAAGGCTATGTTACAAAGTATTGAGTTGAATTTTTGTTATTGACCACGTAATTATTTTCCACCCTGATTTACAAATAAATTCTTTAAAAATCCTGCCATGTGAATTCATGGATTATTTTTCACATTCTGTCTCTCACAGTTGAAGTGTACCTATGATGTAAATTACTGACCTCTGTCATCATTTTAAGTGGGAGAACTTGCACAATTGGTGGCTGACTAAATACTTTTTTGCCCCACTGTAGCTTTCCACCCCTATTTCCTGCTGTAGCCGCCAAAATAAAAGACAGGGAAACGCACGGGTCAGGAATCTGACGGATCTACGTCACACTGTCACTTAACATTCACGGACACGGCCATCTTGGCTCAAGAATGAGAAGGCTTGCAGCCGTTTGAGGACAGAGCGTCTTTGCTACTAGAAGCTAACCATTAGCATTAGCAAGTCCACAACACTGCAGAGCTAATTCAGGCTTGTGTTATTTGTGGAGATGAAACATCAACATTGCAGAGCAAACACAGTCTGTGGTAGAGTCGCGTTGCTGTTAGCCAATCAGAGGCGAGATGTCCGAATATCAGGAAATAAGACTCCAAATCCTGCCGTCTGCTGCTCATCTGTTCTCTGGCTCTTTTTTACTTCCTGAAACAGGAGTGCCAGAGCCCTTTCCTCACAGCAATTGTCTCACAAGCCAGTAAATAGTACTAAAGACCGCTGCAAACGTGTTGGAAAATGGTTGAATGAGAGCTTTAAAATGATTTTAGGCCTGTGTTCAGAGGTTTTTCATCGCCCTCATAAGTAAAAATGGATCACCTTCTGAGAAGGTTTGAAAAGCGATTAGTGTTGCTCAGGCCATCGAGATGACTGGATTTTATTGACACCGAACAATGGAGCACATTTCTGTAAATGCTCATCTCATGGTGCACACAGCCCTTCTATTCATCTTTATTTGTCCCTCTCACTTTCCGTCTGTCTCACGCCGATGCGCTGGTATTCCCCTCAGCGTGGCCGGGGAGATGCCAGACACGGTGCAGATTACCCAGAACGAGCTGAGGGTGCTGAAGGTAGACGAGTCTGTCAACACCACTTTTGTCTGCGAGGTCAAGAATGGCATCGGAACATCCAAAGAGCAGGTGGCGGTCTTCGTCAGAGGTGAGCCACGCACATTTTGAGCTCCCGCACACAAACACGCAAAGGATTTTCCTTGAGATGCAGGTGAGATTTGAGGTCGTTTGCACGGACGCACGAGTGCATCACATTAGTCAGGAGTCATCAGCTGATGTGTCCTATTTGTGCACCTGTCCTCTAAATTGATTAAAACTACACTTTGTGTAATTTGCACAAGTTTCAAACGTCCAAACATGCTGATAAATTGGCAAATTAGCTTGGTATTCCTTCATCACGTCGACTCACCTCAGGCTCGGAAATGAAAACATTTATTTCCTGATAGCTGATGAAGTGGAACCAAGTGCTCTTTCATCACGCTAGCCACACATTTCCTGGTGTTTTATGCTCTTATTGCTTCCTCAGGGATACACCTTGTTCAGCCTCACTCGTTACATAAACACTCATTTTCTCCGGGCTGAGGACGGTCCCGGGCGTTCAGAGTAGGCTTAGTGGGTCCAGCTGCTCTGTCCTGGTGTGTGTTCGGGTTTGTGAGACTGGTTTTGTGTTCATGCTGTTCAGTTCTCTCCTTCAGTTTTGGATTTCTCTTCCTCTGTTTGCAACAAAGAGTGCATGCCACTTTTATGTCTCTTTGCATGCCGTTAACAAGCTGTATTATCTAAGTTTCTGCGCCTCGGCGGTGCCCAAGGCCTCTCTGCCAGTTTGTGCATCTGAAGAAAATGGTTCATCGTTTTTCTCAAAAAGCTTTTAATGGGCCGCGCTGGGTCTTCGTCAGATATTTTTAGCAATTTTCCTTTTTTTTTTTTTACCTGAGAGTGTCGTGATTGCCGGGGCTGAGTGGCTTCTCAGCAGTGCACTCTAGCACTAATGACAACAGAAGGGACCAAAGCAAATCACTATAAGTGATGCGTTTCACTCAAAATGATACCTCTGACTTTGGAATAAAGTCTGTTTTCATTTTGAAGTTTGATGCAAACATCTATTGTGTGTGTGCATGTTTGCTGTCTTGAGGAGATGTTCATTCAGGTGTGTGTGTGTGTGTGTGTGCACGTGTCCAGGTGGAACCATCCGGTGTAATTAAAAAGAAAAGCCGCCAGCCCCCTTTCAGCTGGGCTCCCTCATCCCCCCCTCATACAAAATGCATCTCCTTCCAGTTCTGTCACCCACTAGCACTTAACCTGAAGTACTTTTTTTGCTGACATAGTGATAAAACTTATCCATAATGGGTGAGAAAGTGATTTTTTTCCCTGCTAGCTAGACCTTAAAAGCCACCAAGCTCCATTAACGCCCTAATTTTTTAGCTTTTGTCATCTTGCTGACTTCTTATTCTGCATTTTTCTTCTCCACTTTTACATCTTGCTACAAGTCCCTTGGCGTTTGATGATGCATGCGTCACTGCTCCTCTGGGGCCGCGTTGCGGCTCTGCGTACAGTAGCCTCTGTCGCACAAAGGATGCCACCGGCTCCTGCTGCTTTACAAGGAAGATGCAAAGATCCGGGAAGCAGGTGGGGCAAGATGGAGGCTGCTGCTTGTAGACGACAAAGTCGGGGAGTGTGCGATGAGATAAATCAGTGCAATCCTTAGTCAGAGAGGGGAGAGAGTAAAGACATGAGGGATGGAGGGGGAGAGCGCGGTGCTGACAGCGTTTAAAACTCCCATGGGAATCTCCTGCCAGTGCATCTCCACAGCCATTGGCCTCCACTATCTCTCAGCATGGCGTGTGTTTCTGTCACTCTCCAAGCCTCTCAGAGCGGATCAGTCACCCTTTGCTGCTTCAGCTCCTCGCCGCCTCTCTTCTCACTCCTCTCTTTTATCCTACATTTACCCTTCTCTCCCACTTTCATACTTTGTTCTTCTCCCTGTTCTCATTTCCTTGGATCCTCTTGTTGAGTTTCCTCATCCCCATCCCTTCTCACGCTCCAAGTCTTGCTCCCTGGCTGCCGACAGCCTCCTCCTCCCATCCCACTCCGGTCTTACTCATTTGCAGAGGAGGAGGAGGACAAGATGCGAGCTAAATCTGCCGGCAGTTAAGAGGTGACTAAGACGACCGGCAAAATGTCAAGAGTGAAGCATGGTTGTGGAGCGCAGGGACTGAAAGGAGTGTGCAGAAAGAAAGCCGTCAACGTCGAGGAGAAGCGGCGGAAGGGAGTGGATGATGATCACGACGGAGAGTAAGACAGATGTGCAACGACTCCAGACGGGGCTGTGATTCAGACCTGCAGAGACTAATGTGAATGCGTGTAGACAAACGGGGCTAAGAGGGGCCGACAGGCGTGAAATGGTCAGCACCTGCTACATGGCAGGTCCCCCTCTCGTTTATACCCCACAGCTGCATGATAAACACACACACACACACACACACACACACACACGAGTCTGCTTACTCGAGTTTTCTGCCCCCAGTCGTGCCCTACACACTTTGAGCACAGAGAGGGGTGGATGTCCTCTCTTCTCCTTGCCTCTCCTCCTCTCATCTTCGATCCTCCTGCTTACTCATCCACAAACACACTCCCTCTTTTCTTTCCTTTCCTTTTCATCTCTCTCTCTCTCTCGCCAACTCCCTCGCTGGAATCTGCTCTTTTCGTTGCGCCTTTCATCCTCTCAGTTAGCATATGCTCTCTCCTCATCCCACCTGTCTTCCTCAGGTTGCCTTTCAGCCTCCGCAGGAACGATGTCGATCTCTCTGCTCGGAGGAGCGACTTCTGCCCCCAACATCCACTCTTCCTTTCTTGGATGTGCCATCTTCCTCTCTCTCTCAGCTCAACTCTTAAATAGCAGCAGCTCTTCTTTAATCACAGCTTAGTAGCTTCCACACTTTCTTCCATCCCTCCGTTCTAGGTTTCTCTCAGGGGGAGTTCTTGTGTGGCTAACCCAGATTCCCTCCATCTTTTTTTTTCTACCTTTGTTGGTACAAAAAGGGGCAACCCAGCAGAACGTCTTAAAAAAAAAATGGTTAAACGCCCTGAATTGAATCCCCCATGTGGTCCTCAGTTCAGCGGAAAAGAGATTTCCTTTCAATTCGATGCAATCTCTCCCATTTTCTGACTCATCTAAGGAGACAGTTCAAGGGCAAGGGGCTTGGCTGTTTCCTCCACTGAGTTTGGAGGGTGTGTGTGTGTGTGTGCGAGTGTGTGTGTGTGTGTGTACGTGTGCATGCATGCATCTGCTCGTCTCTGTCAGCGTGTGTCTCTTGCCATGCGAAAACAGCCAGAGCTCAGGTCTGATGGAGCCAAGTCTCCCTGCAGCCTTGCAACCGGCCCTTGTCCCCCACCCATCATTAGCACACACACGTGCGCGAACGTTTGTGCAGCAAGTGCACGAGTCTGTTCACTTAACGCCCTCAAAGACAGTCCCGCAGAGCTGGGCTCTCCATGCAATCAAGCCCAGCATCAGACCACTGATGACCGTCCTGCTGTGTGTGTGTGTGTGTGTGTGTGTGTGTGTGTGTGTGTGTGTGTGTGTGTGTGTGTCTACAACCATGCATGTGTTTTTTTTTGTGTGTGTGTGGGGGGGGGGGGGGGGGGAGGTTGTAGTAAACTTTACTTCTGCTCCATCTCTCTCATCACTCGCGGTCATTTGAAGCACACAGGCTTCTTGGACGTGACTCCATAAGAAGCATGCAGCGTTTTGGCCTCGACGGCGTGTTCGAGGGAGGAATTACTTTGATGTCGTTGTTCATTTTTTTCCTTTTCTTTCACCAGTCATCCACGCAGCTTTCATATTTCGCACTAATTCATCCGATGGCGTGTTTATAAAATGCTCCCTTCTTGCCCACTTAGATGATTCGAGGCCTCCTCCTCGAGCGCCGGAGCCCGTTCTGGCAGCTCGGCGCGACTCGGATCCATCTCTAGAAGTCGTATCCGGAAAGTTGGAATAAAACATGAGTTATCCACAAAAGGATTTTAAAAGATCATAGAAGCAACTTAAATGTAATTGAATGAGCATTATTTTGAGAGAATTAGCATTTTAATGTTGGTCTAATTCCCTTTGATGTGGTGGAGATGCGTGGCAGCATTTGGCCTCAGAGTTTGCACAGCTCCACAGAGCCTGAGGCGATAATGCATTTCTCATGTTCCTGTTACAAGTGGACACGGAGTCCTTGCTCTCGCTCTCATCTGTGAATAGGACGGTTTAGCACAGCATGCCAGGCGAGAGAGTCTGAGCGTTGGAAGGGAGAAAGAAAACGTATGAAAGAAGCTGAAAATTGTATCCATCATTATTAATTCTTTCCCAGGGCATATGCTCTGTTAAAAAAAAAAGGGCTGAGAAAAGCAGCATAAGACAGAAGTACAAATGTAAATTGGAGCGATGACAGGGAAAATGGATTTAGAGTTGCAGAGAGCGTGCAGCAGACAGCTGGTGAAGTGGAGGCAGAGATGGAGAAGTGGAGGACAGACTAGGCAGACGGTACGGAGGAAGAAAAGAGCCGAGCGCAGGTATACACAGCAGCAGACTTCCATTTTCTCTGTGACAAGAATCGGTGTTACAAGGGTAATTCTGTCAGCCGCCGTACGCTCAACAGGAAGGGCCGGCTTCCACCGGATTTCAAATGGGAGCGACAATAAGAATTAGACTGATTTGCTGCTTTCAAATTTCAGGAAGGGATTTCAGCAGCAGGAGTCGTGTTGTTAACCCTCCGCTGCCTCACATGAAAGCAACAGAGAAGTTCCCGATCGCTCTAAACCGAGGACTGGAATTAAAAATTCATTTGCTCCCCGCGAGTTTCAAACTGTAGCCGAAGTGCTCGAACCTGAGTGGATCTTGAATACTCGAGAGCGGAGACGTGACCATTTCAACCTTGTTTACATGCAGCTCTAAAGTGCAAGCTCCATGCTTTTAGCTCCAGCGTCAGGTGGAAGGAGCTCCCAGTGGCAGATTATTTCTGAGTGAGGTCGGCGCAAACGAAAATGCTCTGACCGGCAGAGGCAGAGAGGCTCTCTTCGTGTGATGGGAATAAGCAAGAGTCAGGAGCAGAACATGTTAGGACAAAAGCGGAACCAGAGGAGCTCTGATCAGCAGGAAGTATT